ATAAATAATGTTCACAGCAGAAATTCACTTTAAGTAAAATAACTCCAGCTAACAAATTTTGGAACCCAATTACTAACAGAAATAAATCATCGAAGTGGACAATGTTTAATTTCTTTATATTTTACTTTATTTAAACACTAAATATTTACACATACAAGTTGAGAGTCCCTAAAACTCCAAAACATTTTAAACACCAACATGACACCATAAATTGAAAAATCCACACCGGACCTTACATGATGGGTCACAGTTAAATGTGGACATTAAAAATATTGTATAAAGTCACCTCCAAGCATATGAAACATAAATTAATTTGTGTTTAGACTTTGGTGCCATCCTCAAGAAGTAATATAATATTATATAATGTAATATTATATAATTATATAATGTATACACATAATATCAAGATGTATGTGTATGTATATTATATACATGAAAATATTGCAAAATCAAAAAAATTCCAAATTCAAAACACTTTTGGTCCTAACAATTTCAGATAAGATATATTCAACCTATACATCTATGTATGTAATATGTATGTATATATTTATGCATATATTATATTTAGAAATAATATACAGAAAATCAAGCAGTCATAGCTCCAGCCTTATCTGAGGAGACAGAATATCTGAAGATTACAGTTGTTCTTCTTTTAAAATCTAATATTTAAATGCCTACTGCAAGGTACCTGAGTACACAGACTTCTGTTGTCCTACCTTAGTAGCCCTTCTACTTGCTGTGGCTTCAAACTGTTCCTCTCTCATGTGGTTAGTACAAGCATAATAACTTTAATACACTCGTGTTTCTAAGCTTTAACTCTCTTCATCAAATATATTTGATCTATTTGAATTTGTGCTTCAAATATCATCATAGCAAATGGGAAGCTGCCTGAAGTTCAATGGAAGCAACATGAAGGGCCATCCCCTCCAATGTCACAAGAACAAACTCTTCCATGACAGAGTTGAGTTTTTCATAAAGACAAGTAATAACACCATGGATGAATATGCTAAACAACTGAATTTTTCCACTTATTACTTCCTTCTGTTTTTCCTTAGGCCTTTAGAGTGACCTTGTGTACTCTATTAGGAATACACATATTTTTAAAAGAATGGAGTCATGAACATAAACACAAAAAAAGCACAATAAAATATTAGCAAACTGACTATGGCAACATAAACTATACACACATAAATTACATATAGAACTAAGAAACTAATTCAAAAAAGTTGCAACACACAAAATCAAACATATTTCTCTTTGGTAACAATAAGCAACTCCAAAACAAGAAAATAATTTAATTTACAATATTGTCTAAAAGAACAAAATACATAGGAATAAATTTAAGAAAAAGGTGAAAACCTTGTTACCTGAATATAAAACATTGCTGAAAGAAATTAAAGGACACCTAAATAAATGGCAAATATCCCATGTTCATGGGTTTGAACACTTAACATTGTTCGGTGTTGGATTTCCTCCAAAGCAATCTGTAGATTTGATACAATGTGTATCAAAATTAAAATAGTTCTTTCTGTCGAAACAAAAAGGCTAAGCCTCAAATTCCAATGGAACTTCAAAGAATGCAAAATAAACAAAAGAGAACTTTGTTCTTGAAACTGAAGAACCCACACTTTGTGATTTCAAAATTGACAACAAATATACAGTAATAAAAATATGGTAATGGCATATAGACAGACATATATGCAGAGTAGAACTGAGAGTCCAGAAGTGAGCCTAATCATCTGTTGTAAATTTACTTTCAAAAATGGTGCCAAGACGATTCAGTGGGAAGTCACTTCAAAAATGATACTGGAAAAACTGGATAACTAGATGAAAAATAATTAAGCTGAACCTCTATCTCCTTTCATATGCCCAAACTCAATGAAAATGGATCAATGACCGAAACAAAAACTACAAAATTCATTGGAAAAACATCCCGATGGCCTCAAATTTGACAAAAGATTCTCGGACTTAATACCAAAAACAAAAGCAACATAAGAGAAACTAGCTAAATTAGACTAAACCAAATTTTTTATGCTGTGTATCAAAGGATGCTATGTGGTCTCAGTGTCCCACAAGGATCTATTGTGGATCCCTCCAGGATCTACTAAAGGTATGAGACCCAGGAGGCACTGCTGAGGCATGGTGGAATCTTTGGGAGGTCAGACATAGTGGGAAGCCCTAAGTCAATGGGGACATGAGATACTAAGCATGGGAGTCCTTGAGTTCTCCCTAGAGGACTGTTACAAATGCCCTGCCTGTCCTCTGTTTACCTACTTTTGATCAAGGTGTTACCACTTGCTTTGAGACGCTATCCCGCCACTGCCACCTGCCATGTCACATAGTCCTCAAGAGATCTGACACAGATGCCAAGTCCTTAAATCTCCAAAACTGTGAACAATACAAACCTTTATACTTTATAAAATTAGCTACTTTAGGTATTTACATTATGCAAATTACAATAATACAAAGCTGACTAATGCAAAGGACATTGCCAAGAATGAAAATACAATCAATATGATAGGAGCAAACATTTCTACATTATATATCAGTTATCTATCAAAATATCTACTCATCTATTCAGAATATAGAAAGAATTTTTTGAAAGTAATAAATGGACATAATATTTAAATAATGAGACAATCCATTTTAACATGGGCGAAGAATCTGAATAGATATTTCTCAAAAAATATACACAGCTAGCCCACAAGCATAAGAAAAGATGTTTAACACGAGTGATCAATAAGGAAATAAAAGTCGAAATCACAATCAGATGAGCATGATAGTACACACTATAATCTCAGCACTCATGAGGCAGATTCTACAGGAACATGAGTTTGAGGCCATAAGTGAGTTTCAGATCATCCAGGACAATACAGTGAGACTCTGTCTCAAAAAGGGGAGAGGGTTCAGAATGGGATATCACTTCATATCCAGTGTGATAGTTTTAATCAGGAAACAGAAAATAGCAAGGGTTGTCAAGATGTGGAAAATGGAAAACTTCATACACTGCTGGTAAGAATGTAAAACAGCACAGCTGTCCCACAAAACAGTTTCTCAGTTCCTTAAAATGTTAAACATAGCAATTCAACTCCTTGGTATAAGGTAAAGAGAAATGAAGACATTTGTATATACAAAAATTGTACATAAATGCGTGCAGCAGCTAATTCATAAGCCAAAATTACAAACAAACCAAATGTCATCACCAGACTGATAGACAAATAAATTCTAAATATAGGAATATTATTCAGGCACAAAAAGAAACTAACTGTGGATAGATACCACAACTTAGATGAACTTCAAAACCCTTATGATAAGAGAAGACAGGCACACAAAATTCATGTATTATATAATTCCTTTTATATAATATATGCATGACAGGCAAATCCACCGAGAAACAAATGATTAGAAATTATGGGGGCACAGCAGTGAAAGAGCTCACCTTGTTTTACAAGGTGGTGAAAACATTTTGAAAGCTGACTACTGAATTGTACACTTTAAAACAGTTTACTATATGTTACATGGATTTTATCTCAATTGAATAAAATCAAATATTTAGTAAAAATCCATTAAAGTAAGTGAAAGACATTCAGACTGAAAACTACAATTACCACTGAAAGAAAATTAAAGAAGACTAAACAGATGGAGAGAGGTCCTGTGCTCATGAGATGAAACACTTAATACTATGGAAACAGCAGCACTTTCCAAATAGATCAACAGATTCACTGCAATCTCTATCAAAATCCCAGCTGGCTTCTTAACAGAAGTTGACAAATTAACTCTAAAATTCACAAGGAAACACATGAGACTCATAAGAACCAAAACAATCTTTAAAAAAAAAAAAAAAAAGAACAGTGCTGGAAGATAATTTTCTATTTTCAAAACTCACTACAGACCAGAAGTAATAAAGATAGGGTGGTGGTGGCATAAGAACAGACATGTAAATCAATGAAAGAGAATTAAGAGTCCAGTAATATACTAATAAATCGATGGTAAACTGATATTCAGTAAGGGTACCAATGGGAAAAAATAATCTTTGGTGACCTATGATTAGGCCTTTGTTAGACGTATGAATTATAGCAGGATTCTGGACCTAATTCATTTTTTTTTGTGGTAGTACTGAGGTTTGAACTCGGGACCTCATCTTGCTAGTTAGGTACTCTACCACTTGAGCCCCTAGCCTTGGACACCTGATACCTGATACTGAATGGGCTGACAGAACAGACTCAGCCAGCATCAGAGATAAGGGGGATGGGCTTGACACTGAGCCTACCCCTGAAGTCTACAGAGAAGAAGCTGATAGGGGCAGGAAAGGGCAAGGAGAGCTTTCCTATCTGCAGGTGTATCAGTGCTCACACCTTTAAATCATAGCTACTTAATAGGCTAAAATTGGGAGGATCATGATTTAAGGCCAGCCCAGCAAAAACATAGGGATACCACATCTCTATGAATAGCTGTGGGCAGTGCTCTCTTCTGTCATCCCAAGTTACATGGAAGGTAAAAGATTGGAATGATCCTGGTTCAAGGCCAGCCTGGGCAAAAAGTTCTCAAGACTCCATCTCAACTAATAAAAAGTGGGCACAGTGGCTTCCCAGCTATATGGGAAGCGTAAATATGAGGGTGTGGTCCAAGCCGGACTGGGCACAAATGTGATACCTTATGTAAAATAACTAAAAAAAAAAAAAAAAAAAAAAAAAACTAAAGCAAAAAGGGCTAGGGACATGTCTCAAGTGGTACAGCACCTGCCTCGCAAGTGTGAGGCCTTGGGTTCAAAACCCAATATTACTAAAAAAATTTTGAACCACATTTCTTAATGTCTGCCTAATACATCATTATAAATGGAAATTTCATTTGGGGAATGTAATGCAAATTTTAGACATCTGATGGTGGACCAGCTGCTGCACAGCCTTTTTCATCATGTATCATTTGAATAAACAAAAATAAAAATGGGAATAGCCATTCAATAGAGAGCACTTCAAAGAAAACCCAGACAGTCTGCTCACCTTGGGGTGCTATCAGAGTTCTTCCATTTTCGTGACACCAACCAACTGGCTGGACATAAGGACTATTAATATCGCACCTGCAAAAACAGGGATCCAAGTTAGAGTATCACTCAATAACAGAGAAAGAATCCAAATATGAAGATCATTGTGAATATGAAGAGATACTATGGAAATCAGTACTTCAAAGCTACAGAGAATTTCTAATTTGTATTTGTAGGCTGGATGATAAAACTTCTGTTTTGAATAACTCTTTCTAAATTTAAAAGCATAAAATTAAGAGGGGTTTGACATGGACCTGAATTACCAGTGATATCTCCAGAGTGGACATTTTAATAAATCTGTCCACCAGTTTTTACTATTTAATTTTAATAAGGCAGACCAATCAGATTCCAGGTGAACACAGTTTTTCTTCCCACTCCTTTTCAAAGAACCCCAAATATTCTACCTAAGCCACATACAACAATTACTCTCTGCTCCCCTTCTTAGTTCAAAGGATAACACCATGCCTGTGAAGAGCCACAGTCTCAGGCAGGGACTTGTCAATTATTCAGGATACATTATGAGGAAATGCTACAAAAATTATTTTTGCCATAACTTCTTCTATATTTCAGGCTTTCATCTAGTAAACTCTTTCAGCTTGTGCAATGTTAGTTTAACATAGCATAATTTTCTCCGCTCCCCACATGCTTTCAAATATTTACTCCTGTTTTCCCTGGATTTTTCTTTTATGTGACAGGCTGAGTTCAGTATTTTTTTTCAGGTCAAAACAATGACCAAAAAACCACCTCTAGATACATTCACACATATGTATACATAGGTATATATACTTCTTAACTTCCTCTTCACAAAACCATTTCCCTTACAAACTAGACAACATACGTATAGTGAAAAGCCCTGGACTGTTCATATTATTCCAGGTGAGGTCTCACTGGGTAACTTCTCAGAGAGGATGGGGAAAAGTTTCTCGGGAATTTAATTCAATAGTTCCTTTGGGAGCAACCACTAAATTCCTGATACGGGTTATAATAAGAATGGTGATAGTACTGGAATGAAAATAACCAAACATGAACGCACCAGTAATCGTAACTATCATCCCAATTGTCAAAATGCACTCGGAGGCGATCTTCCACAATATCTGCTATGGTTGCCACACACACCAAAGAAGGGTTCTTCCTGTCGACCGCCTCCAGCTTCATTCCGACCTGAAACTCCTTAGGCACTGGCCCATTCTAACACAGAATCAGAAGGGGTCGAGGCACAAAAATAAATAGAATACCAAACAATACTTAGCTACTGTCAATACTTCTATGATGTTTAGCATCAACAAAGTCTACAGCATCTTGACATTTACCTACCTCTGGAAGGAGGCCAGCAAATGTGAGGAACACACCCACACTCAGAACAAAGCCCAGAGAAACCAGACCTCCTCTGGAGGACTTGTTCTGCAAGATGATTTTCTTTCCCTTCCCTATCATCTTTTCCCCTCTTCAGTTCTTACAGGTAATTTGTATGAATTTTATAACACAATGTTTACTGAATACAGTCATAGCAAATGTGTTTTCTGCTCCCCATAAACCTTTGAATGGTTCCAAATTTATCATTTGAAAAACTGGGAAAGATAAGCCCTCTAGCACTGAAATACCATTTAATTTGATTAGTAGATTTAATTTGATTAGTAAATCTGAAAATAGTGGCTTTCTCAATATTTAAGATACATATGCACAAATTCATAAATAAAATTACAACTAGAAATGCAAATTCCCTTTTTAGTTCCTGTACATTCTTAATATAAAAAAATACCATGGACTACTATTTACAATAACATGTAAGTTATAAAACCCCATTCCTTGTATGGAATAGCCATAATTAGCCAGCCCTAGGACTTAGGGAGTATACACATAATACCTGGGGATAAAAAAAGACATGGGTTTTTTTCCCCTCAATTTCTTTACTATCTTAACTGAACATTGATTTTTACTTTCCTTTAGCATACTGTATTTTAAAGCATTTTCACATTTTATTAATTCCCTTTCTTTGACACTCTTCTAGAAACACATATAACAACTGTACAACATGAATGTCAAGATCAGTAAAGTGAAGTCTGTAGAAATTCAGTAAGATGCCTATACAGTGACAAGGCCCATGGGCCCAGAATTCTGTACTGTCCCAACTTCTCCTTGTATACTGGCCTCACCAGTGAGCCCAGAGAGTAACTAAGAGAAGTCTGGGTTGCAAATGATTGTCAACTGAAGGCTCACTGGGTTGCTCCACCAAAATCCCCACAATACCCCTTGAGTCTATAAGAAATGTTCTTTTTGTTTTCAATAAATCTACTTAAGCTGGGAATATTCAAAGTCAGCCTGGAGTAGCTACTGGTTTCACCAAAACTAAGTGTAAAGGACTAAAACTCATTGAAAGCAAGCAAAAATGAAGAACATTTATAAAAAAACATTTTAGTAAGGCATAGTGGCTCAAGCCTCTTGGGACAAGGAGACCAGGAAGATTGTAGGACAAAAAGAGCCAGGGCAAAAAGTTCATGAAACCCTATTTCAACCAATGACTGGGTGTGGTGGCACGTACCCGTCATCCACAGCTACACCGGGAAGCTCAAATAGGAGGGTTATGGGCTTGGCCACTCTGGACGTCCAGTGAGACCCTATCTCAAGAACAGAGCAAAAAGAGGTGAGAGCATGGCTCAAGAAGTACAGCACCTACTTAGCAAGCATGAGCGCCTTAGTTCAATCCCCAGCACCTCAAAACAAATTTAAATTTTAGCAGGCTTTAAATGTAAAGTTTTCAACTTTCTACATCTAACTAAAGCATTTCATTGCACTTTTGAAGGAGACATGCCAATAGGAAACTGGCAAATTAAGTGAGAAGAATTATAGGACATTAAGGGATTCTGTAATTTCTTAAGGGATTAAAATACAATAGAATATAATGTAAATTTAAGATCAGGAAAATGTGATTCATACTGAGGAAGAAAATACTTACGGAACTTCTGCTTCTGAATAATTTCTTAGGAGCATTTTGCAATTTGCAGGCCTTCAGGTAATCCATCCAAACAAATTTATCTTTTCTATAACCTAAAAAACAGGACACATTACTCAAAACACCTATAAAATATTATCACATACATATTAAAGGTATTACTACTACTATTATTGTTAAATCATCTATCTATCCAATGTCCTTAGCATAACACAAATGATTTAGTTATAATCTTCAAGTTGTTGAGATGTTTTTTAAATGATTTAAAAGTAAAATATTGAGTGTGGTTTTCCATCATGCACATTATTCGCTACTGAGACACACAGTTGGTACCCTGGTGGTCTGATGGGATTCTCATCTCCCATTAAAGTTTTCCAGAAAGGGAAAAAGGGTGAGTACCTCCCTATGTTATTCCTACTCCTGAATAAGCCATATTGTAAAGATCATAAGAGGTCGTGATGATATTGCAATCTAGGGGTCTAGACATGGGGGAAATTATAGGAAGCCCCCTCACAATCCAAGGACCATCTGGTATCCCCAACTTTCTGTTCCTTGTCTTTACAAGTTTCCCAGTAAAAATGTGTTATCTTTCCATTCATATGCCCTAAAATGGCTCACACAAAGATGGCTCAAATAACACAGGATCAGTAAATATTTTCTGATTGGACCTTACATTGAGAACATTAAGTCAAACTCCTTGCACAGCCTTTAAGGTCATGGTCACACCTCTAACTCCATCTGCTTTCTCATCTTCCTCCTCTGCTTGTCTCCTTGAGACGCTGCGTCCTGGCCAATTGGAGTCACAACTCAGAGCACCTATTCTGGCTTTCACTCTTACCCAATGAGTCAAATTGCTTCTCTCTCTTTTGGTCTCAGTCTCTAAGGTACTGCATGTCCTCAAAGAGGCACGTCTCCACTACACTAACTGAAAGTGTGCCCTGCAGTTATATTCAGTCCTTCCCTCCTGTGGAGGTAAAGCCCCATGGAGATAGAGACTTTATTTGCTGTTCCATCCCAGCACCTATATGTAGCAAGGGTTCCATCATACTTAATGCATGAATGAGCCCATTGCCTGTCACCAGAAACTATGAAATCCAGAAGTCTTGCTATCAGCCCCAGGCAGATAGCAAGGGACATGCTGAATTAACTATTAAGAATAAAATGACTATGAACTGACTCCAAATATGGCACATCCATGCAGGGAAACTGGCTCAATGGACTACACCCTCAGTTTCTTGCTCATGGCAAATAAAAAAGGTTTCAGTCCCATCTGCCTGACCAGATTTCCTCTAGCATAAAATAAGAGACAAAGATAGACTTTAATTCCCATCAAAAGAAAACTGATGGTGAAATTTTTCCAGTTTCATGCTTTCCATGAGTCCTAGGTTTAGAGCACATTATTTACAATAAATCAAATTTTTTCACTGTGCAGCTTCATTAATATAGTGGATTATTTCATTTCAACAATGATTAAGCATCACTCATCACTCCTTGTAAGGTTTAATAGACTTTTATGTATAATAAGATGCTGACATAGTCATAATATTATTCCTGGCCCAACTTACCTTATCAGAATTTCTGACCTAAAAAGTTATGAATACTTTGCTTTTAAAGACACTTATGTTCTGCGAAAGGGCAGAGAGGGACGGGGTGGAGGGCAGGGGAGACAGATGGCCCAAACAATGTAGGCACATATGAATAAATGAATAAACAATAAAAAACAAAGATACTCATTTCTAAGGATGGTATCAATGTGGTCTTAGTTCACACCAGGTTCTCTTGTTAGTATTTCATGTAATGTTGTTAAAATAAAACTGAAATAACAAGTGACACTCTTTCCAGTTGGTAAATTTGATCCTGGCTTACCCTTAGGGATGTGCAATTCATGTTTGGTCTTCTCACACCACCCTACAGGATGAATGTCAGGGGAACCAGCATTGGTCCAAAAATCATAGCTGCTTAAATAACCATCAAAATGAAGTCTTAGCCGGTAACCACACACCTGCAACATGGAAGGTTTGCAATCACTCATTAAGTGTCATACTTCTGAAGCAGGTACAAAATTCACAAACTATTTAAATATTTTTCAGTACCATCAACATGAGTCAATCCATCTATGCAAATGGTTTCACTAAGAAACAAATTTATATATGACATGACATCTGATTAAAACAAAACAGTGATGAAGTACACACAATTGCTTACCTAGTCTTCTGAAAAATTTATTCATTTAGCTAATAGTCAATCTACATATTTTAATTGAATAATTAATTCAATATGGATCAAATATTACTTTCAGAAACTATATTTTATGCTATCTGGCTTGAATTCATATTCCAAGAGAGTATAAGGCAAATATGGCCTTGTTTCAACTCTAACATATGGATGCAGCATATTCGACAAAGTGAACACTGAAAATCTGAGAAACACATCCTCTAGGCATGCCATACAAGTTTAATAGCTAAATAAAGTAACTGAATGTGACTTTAGGTTCAATACTATTAGAAATATACAATCTTTATTGATTTAATAATATGTTTAGTAAATATAACATTTTACAAGCCTTTTAGTTTCATCAATGGCAGTTCACTGTTGATAATTTTCATAAAATTAATGTATTTTATAGAAATTAGTAACTTATATGCACGAATATTATTCTATACATTCTCATCAGATTAGCTAAAACATGAATAATTATGTCTCTGTTAATAGGCAAAAAACAGCATTGTGGGATTCATGAATTATTATCAGCTTTAGGTGAAAGCTATTTACCAATTAAGTCAAGAATAAATGCTAGTTGATAAAGAACTTATTGGAAAATTCATCTTTTGGGGAAGGAAAAATTCACTAAGAAATATATTTCACCCATTACTGACTAAAATAAATCCCTAATGTACTAAAATTTATGATAGAAAGTACTCCAATTTGTTACTCTCTTGAAAACTGTCACCATGCAATCAGCCCAAGACAATAACACCATCCCTTACCTCAGCTACAGAAAGCACACAGAACACTGATGGATGTCGGGGATCAATGCCTTCTAATCTCATTCCAATCTGAAAACCATTTTCATGCTCTGGAAAGGATTGATCCTATGAAATTTCATGGTACAACATTAGTTATTGACATTTCTTCATATTTTACTGTGAATTAAATGTAGAACAACAGAACTCATAGAAGCAGAGTGTAGAAAAGTGGGTACCAGATGCTAGGGTGACAGAAGAACAGGAAGATGCTGGTTGCAATTAGGTAGGAGGAAGAAATGATAAATATTTAAAAGGTGATGAATATGTCAATTAGTTAATTCAATCATTCCATTCTTGGGTACCCCATAATTATATGACTACAATTTGTCAAAAAGGTGAAATAAAAGTTCTAAAGGAATGTGCTATATAGTTTGGAAGCTCAGAAATGTAGGTAAAGAAGACTGTTCCTACATGTAAACTGGACCTCAATGATACTTTAATATTTTAACCGATTTAGTTCATCTGTGAAGCATAAGCCCCAGGAACTTCTCATTCATCTGACTGCACAACACTTTGTTGATTACATGGATTCCGATTCCTTGATCTGTGACTGCACACTTTATTGTTATTACAGAGACTTTGCTATAGAAAATCTTTTTGTTTTGTCTCAGGTTTCACTACGTAGCCAGGGTGGTTGAGAACTCTGATCCTCCTGCCCTCTGTGTTCCAGAGTGTTGGGGATTATAGAAATGTACCACAAATCTTGGCAGAAAAACTGTTTATTTTCATATACAGTATGAAATATTATACAGTATACTTCCCCTACAGCTGCACACTGAGACTATAAAACCTTACTAACTCTGAAGCTACATAGATATTCTCCACTATTTTTTTACACTAATAGATTTTCAGAGGAGACAAGATGGCAGATTAAACCAAAGCAGAACCTTGTGGTTTTTTCAGGAGCTGGGGATCGAAACAACCAGAAAACAGCTCCTCAAAGGGGAGTGACTAAGGGAACACACTAAAGTTTACTATTGGAGAGGACCAAGAATCTGAGGTTAGAACAGATGATGAGAACAGTGCATCAGTCCACTGAGGTCATGAAGTGCAGTAGAGAGGAGGAGTAAAGAGAAAGAGGAAAAGGCAGAGTGGGGATGAATTCATACAGGACAGATGCAGAAGAGAAAGGCAGACTGAACATATCTGATCGGGAGCTGCATAGTGTGCTGCTGTTTGAAAAATTACCTCTGCCTTGGTCAACATAAAAAACTGCTGCTTTAATGAGCAGCCATCTTCAGAAGATGCTACTTATTGCTCCCTGTTTAGTATACAGTCCCTGTTAGTTTCTTTACCTTGGAACTCACACAAGTTATACCATACGTGCCCTACTGTACTTATGTACAATGTGGCCCAGCAGGCAGCCAGTGAAGCAAGCTCATTCAAAAACATATTGCATGTGCGATGTGGGGTGGGCCAGGGTGGGAGAGCACAGAATGTGGTGGAACTCACTTTCCCTTTTACGATTGGCCATCCAGGAAGCCAGCTAAAGAGGGTTAGGAAATAGAAACGAGTACACTGATTATGTGGCGGACTGAACCTCAGACAACAACAGTCAGACACAACATCCCAGAATAGCTTGGGGATGGTGGCCCATCTCTGGATACTAGAGTTAACTGCCCCATCTGCATGTGGACCTCTTCTCCGGGTACCTGAGAACTAAGAGCATAGAAAGAACTCAGGAGGCCCTCAGGTAACATAGAATAACTTATACAGAGTTAACAATATCAAAGGGAACTTTGGTTCCATGCTATCCT